GAATCGGGGCATTGCTTTGGGGGACCCCGCGGGTCGGTGCGATTGGCCAGCGCACATGGGCGGCACATGAACCGCTGGCTGGGGAGGTTACCCCCAGCCCCACCCCGTCCACACGAGGGAGAGCACGCCGGGAGGGAGAGCGCACGGCAGCACCGCAGCAGCCTCCCCAGCCCTGGGAAGGCAGGTGGTGTGGCCCCAGCCCCCTGGAACCCGGCGGCAACGCTGAAGCGGGGCTTTGGGGGGGCGGAGCCACGTCTGGCTGTTTGGAGAGGCACCGCCTCCCCTACCCGCCGCGGTCGGTCCCAGAAGTGACGGGTTGGTCCTGGAAGTGATGGGTTTGTCACTTCCTCCCTCGGCCCCACGGCACCCTACGGACGGCCCTGCACCCCATCATCAGTAATAAAAGGTTGGAAGGCAGATCTGGCCTGCAGCGACACCTCTGTAACCCTCCTGCCACCAGCGAGCATGCACGGGGGCCCCTGATTGAAACTTAGCAAACAATCCTATTGATGGTGCGGCTGGGGACACTGATTGTCCAAAGGCATGTTCTGATTGGCCAGCTGATGTCCGTTCAGGTGATGTCACAGCCACGGACCAATCAGAACTGCTGTAACCTCACTGCCCACCAGAAGAGCAGAATCCCTGTGCCTAGTGCATTAGAATTGCTGATACTTTCGAAGTGCAAAGCTGCATTCCCATTCTCCTGTTGTTCCCTCTTATCCTTCCACTAGGTTACGGACCTTGTGCAGTAACTGGAGTTCTTCGAGACACGTGTCCCTATGGATGCCCCACTTCAGGCGTGCATGGACCTTCGACAACAACGAGGAGTCCGGTGGCACCTTAAAGACTAACCTTCGGGCAGAGCTTTTCGGTAGCGGTGCCTGTTCGGCCCACACATGCACCCTATACACCCTTGCGCTCACCCCAAGCAGCATTCCATCCCCTTACTGCTCTCTCTTCTGTGTTCACTCAAAACGACTTGTCGTGGCAACGGATACACTGCACAAAGTTCCCTGCCCTATTTAAAAGGATGCTGGGGGTTTTGTATGAGCCGCTGTCACAGCAGCATGACATTAATGAATCTACCCTCAGAGCCCGCCCCCGGGAAGGCTTAATTAAATTCTAAATCTAATCACAGGCAGTCACTCGAGCAGGGTGTGCGAGCAGCCAGTGCATTTGTCTGCGTGTTCAAAGGCTGCTACTCAGGAACAGTGCAAAGCGCGCAGGGAATTACAAGTGCTTAGTGTGAACAGCGCCCTCCTCCGGGGAATTCGCTTCACATTAGGAGCTCAAGCTTCACCCAGACCTCGCGCCCAGCGGCGAAAAGTTCAGTGGTTGATCTGCCAAGTGAGGGGTTGGGGGATAAGCATTGCCTGCAAAAAAAAGCTACAGGTCCCAGCATTCAACGCTCCATCTTGACCTGAGCAGAAAGCAGATGAAGACTCAGCATTGCATGCTGGGACCTGTAGTCTCTGTGGCTGCAGAGCTGTATTTAAAGTTGGGGGGGCTGCAGTTTGCTCTGTTCTGCGGGGGCAGGTTTAGGACTCACGACTATGCTAGTTCCCCCTCCCCAAACCCTGATTGTTAAGAAGTGGGGAAGCAGACGTAATGGCCGGCGAACACGGCAAGGGGGGGCTGACAGGCGGCCCATTCAGAAGAGCGCCAGGCCCCTGGCGGGCTCACAACAAGCCTAGGGAGCCGTGTTGCCAAGTGGTGGCAGTGGCAGGCCAAGCAGGGCCATTGGCAGGAAGCGGCTCAGGGGACTTAGAGTCTAAATCCCAGGTTTCAGCTCATGTGAAAGTAGCGGTGGATCTTAAAGCCCCATTTAAGGTTTAACTGGCCATTTGTTGTAGCCTCAGACGAGGGGGTGGGGTTATTGTGGGGGGTGGCAGATTAACAGGGACTTGCTATGAGGGAACATGGCACCATGGCGTGACGGGCTTCACTGACCCGAACCCCTCTGTGCTCATCCAGGCTACGAGGGGCGAGACCTGCCATCAAGGCAACCTCCCGTTGAACCCATTTAAATCACGTTCGCTCCTCGCCCGCTGTCCCGGGCCCAGCCGGCTGCTGGTACAGGGGAGCAGGGATTTCCCCGCGGCTGAACTGCTTTACTAACACGCGGGTCCAGCTGTCAGCCAGCTGTGGCTTTCGGAGCCCGAGTAAGGATTACAATCGCACACACAGCTCTTGAAAACCAGCACCTGAGAAGGGGTGAGTGCGGCTCCGGAGGAAGCTCAAAATCCTGCAGAGGAGCTAAGTGAGGGGATTTTAGGACTCATCTCCAGGCTTAGCCCGTGGGGCTCTCCCAGCCGGGCCGCCCCCTCCTGTCCCTGCAAAGGGGTGCGCTGGTGAATAACCGCAGCAGCGAGCGCGGAGGAAGTCAGCGCAGGAGTCCTGCAGGCAGACCCCAGAATAACGCCCTCCTGCGAGCAGCAAGGGAGATTGTGTTTCTGCAGTGGGTGGGACCCACGGGTGATTAGCGGCGGGGCTGGAGAACTTAGCTGAGTTATATCCCTCACCCCACAGCTCCTGCAGCACAAGCCGCACCAGCCTGTCTCCATGCCTAGGAATTGCAGCAGAATACAGACTTACCCGTGATAGCCTGGGACACGTTCACACCCGCGCAGCAGTAGTAGCCTTGCAGCCACTAGAGGGCAACACGCTCACCCAACAAACGGGTCTGACGGATTCCAGCCAGCAGAGCGCAGCGGTGGCCAGAGATCCTGGGAGGACAAAGTGCACTGAGGAGCCGCTTGGGCCATTCCAAGCACTGCCTGGTATCATCACAACCACGGCTGAGACTCCAGAGAGGCAGCTAGGAGAAGGCGCTGAGCCAGACGGCACCGCGAGGTTCAGCACACCCCTCTCCACGCCTCCCTCTAGTCAGGAGAGACCCCGCCCCAGAGTGGTGTGAAAGGGAGCGCATGGGGCCCCGCTGATCAATTGCGATTTCGATAGCATGGCATCTCCTAGCACCGTGCTAGGGCAGTAGGGCCAACGCTGACTCAGAGGGGAGAGCGCCCCCCACTCGGCCCCCTATCCTGCTCCCTGCAGCACAGCGAACCCGAGTGCTTCACTGGAGCACTGGGGTCTGCCCCGCCCAGAGGGGAGAGCACCGCTATAGGGTCCCATCAGATGAGTGACAATTCTGAGGAGCGAGAATTCCCTACGGATTCACCGTCTCTACGTCCTGTGGCACAGGAGATTTCCCCCACCGGTCTCCCATCCAAACGCTGAGCCAGCCCAATCCTGCTTAGCTTGTGAGAGCCAAGTTCCCAGACGGGGGAAGAGAAATCATCCCCTCACTGGAGAAGGGACAAGGGAGAGCAGAATCGGGGCATGTGGGGAAGGGACGGCGTTACCTTTAAAACAGGTGATGAAGTTCTTCACTTTGGCATCGTCCAGGAAAAGCTGCAAAACAAGGCAAGAGGGGGGACAGTGAAGATCAACCTGCCAGAGCACAGAGGGGGCTCCCCCAGAGGACCGTGCCCCAGGGGCCAAGGGAGACATTTCAGAGCCGTGCGACTGCGGCTCCAGGAGTCCACGGCCCAACTATCCTACACAACGTCACGGGTAAAGCATGTTCCGTGGAGCTCTGTGGCTGCCCTTTGATCACGATGGAGAACGGCAGGCAGAGACCTGCAGTCTCCGTGAGCCAGATCTCTGGGTTAAAGAGGATGATGCTACAAGGGCTCCATATGTTACGAATTAGGTGTGACCTACTGGCCCTTGCCACATTGCCAACACGCGCCTGGGAGTGTCAATGGCTCTGCTTTGGAGCAACGGCTCCACGTTGTCGCCACCTCCCATCAATGATCCCAACTGGCGCTGCTGAAACACACGGCCAGCCAGGCGCCCCCCTCCCCAGCTGCAGGGAACGAGTCACTCACTGGAGTCGCAAGGCATTTCCAGTATCCTCTGGGGTTGTGAAGAGAACTGGGCCTCTGATGTTCCGGCCATGCAGCCGTCCCCTCCCCCGGGTCTTCTTTCTATCAGTGGGAACTAACCAGCGGCCTGATTTTCAGATGTGCTGAGCACCTGCGGCTCCCACTGAAATCAGTGGGTCCTCTGGGCACTCAGCCTCGTTGAGAATGGGGCCGTCCATCCCTGCTCCCCACAGCAGAAAGGGGCGATTCTGCAGCAGTCACAAACAGCCCCAAAGCCTGAATTCGCAGGATCGTTAATGTACAGAGCAGGCCGATACACCTCAGCACTGCGGATGCTTCTTTAGCACTAATTACAACTCCTCATCTCTCTTGCTATGACTAATTCACCATTAATGCAATATGCGGGTAATGCAGGAAAAATGATCAGTTGATGCTAACGGGTTAGAGAGGCACAAACAGCCCGGAGGGCTGGAAGAGGGCCAGATGGTATTTCCCGAGCCCAGAAACAGACCGTTTCATGGGTCTGATGCTTCCCAGGATTCAGATCTCACATGGAGCTTATTGAGAAGTTTCCCTTGGCTTTGAAAGCAGGCCAGCCCGCTGACCCTACAGCTAGCACGCTGCTATCCTGCCTGGGAAACCCAGCCTCGATCCCCTCTGCTCCTGGCAGTGATGCTGCATGGACGGTGCCCTCAGCCCGGCAAGCAAGGGGAGTGACAGCAGTTTGCTCAGCACCCATCTGCCTGGCTGCTTTAGGGGTGGCATTAATGGAGGCTGGGAGGCGTTCCCGCAACGCTGCCCGAATCAGAGGAGAGCAGAAGGGGGCAGAGGGGAGCTGCTCTTGGCTCCAAGGACCCAGGAATCCCCCCAAGAGAAACAAGGAATAGATTCCATCTGCCTCCTGGCGGAGAGGAGTCTGCTCCCCAGGGTTTGTCCATAGCTCGAACGCAGCATAACTAACCCAGGCACAGACATCCGCCAGATCACAGGCTGCTACTGCTTGGCCTAGGAGAGTAACCCCATGAGCTGGGAGTCCGTAGCAGCCGGCTATAGTCACTGGAGCCGGCTGCTAGAGGGGGACAGGGTCACAGGCACCTCGCTAGTGTATTGCAATAGCCTCTTAGCCAAGTGCATCTCCCCACCAGCCTGACCTGTATTTGAACCTGACAGCAACCACCTCCCTGGGGTCGCGTAGCTCAGCAAAGCTACCGCCCCACACGCTACCGACTGATGTCGCCACCATCTTTCAGGCTAGAACGGACACAGCCTCCCCTGTCCCAAACCCCTGGCTTTTGGGGCTGTGCCACCCCCCACTTCCCCCTTGGGTCATGGCAGGGATCATGCTGCGCTTACAGTCACCATATTTGAGGACTTTGGCACAGTAATGTGCATTTTTAGCTTTTTGGCACCATCTGGTGGCACAACTGGGGAACTGTCACTTTAAGCCGACTGCACAATCCAGATAAAAAATCATCCAACACAACAACAAAAAGTGGAACCAACTACAACAAACTTCACAACTCACAGAACACCACCCTGGGAGGCTCCACGGCACTCCATGACACACCAGCATCATCAGTTTATCACGACGACCCCTAACCGGAGTTGAATTCTCTGTCCGCTGCAAGGGACTGAACGTCTGCCCCATCACAGAACCTGATACCATACAAACATGTGGAGAGCTAGAAGAAATCTTTTGCTACCTCCGCCTCCAAGAATTCTTTC